GAGCGAGCAGTACCCTGATGCAAGGGCTACGACACTGAACACGTTCGTGTGCCGGACCCGCCGGAAGACGCATGTTGGGCAATGGGCCGTGGTTTAGAGTGTGCATCGGTAGTGTTAACCCCTCCCATGGATGATGTTTCCCTTTCCTTTCCCCTGCCACCTTTTGAAGCGTCCGTCATTATCAGTTTATCAGAGCAGCTAATCAAACAAAACCGGCTTCTGCTGGGTCGTCTATCTACGTCTGACCAACAACACTTTGCGAGAAAGAGGGAGAGATGGACGACAGAAATTTAGACTTTCTCAGATCCGCCCACTAGAAGATCTCTGACCAACCCAACTTTGGCACAAAAGGGAATATGCCTCAGTCTCGCATATAACGGAATCCACTCTCCATGCTTCGGTTGACTTTTTTTTTCTTCCAATCTTTTGTATGTAACCGTACGGGATACAGTATTCCTTTTCTCCACGTACAGTCATCATCAGTGTTCCTTCTGCGGATACAGATCTTCGTTGAGCCCCCCACCCCCACCCACATATAACACGAACTTGAAGCGCGGGTAACCCGACAGGTCGTATGCTGAGTGAGGTTCGCAATGACTTCATAATCTGGATGAGAGACCACAATCGGCCCAAAAGAAACCCCACCACTGGGCGTTGTGTCTACCGCGCGCTGTTCTTATATCCCTTGATCTAGAAAAGCGACTGAGAGTTTCATCCGTCGGGTCCCAAGTCCGCTTTTCTGCGTACCATATTGCTCCTCCTTCTCCTCCTCCAGGCCTAATAGGCACATAGGATGGCCCTCGCGGTTGCTCTCGCTTTGAATCCCGACTTTGAGCGAACGGACACAAGTGTCCGGATGCTGAGGGCGGACTCAAATCCCAAGGGATATCCCATAAGTGCCAAAGACCGGGTGGAATGAGAAAACGGAAAGAAACCTCCAGACGACGTTCCGAGAGCCCCAAGTCTGTGCCTCGTGCGCAGCCTACTTGTGCAAAGCCCATCCATTTACTGCCGTACCTTTTCCCTTTGACTGGGGAAACTCAATCGTTCTGATATCGTCCTTTCTTTCAGCTTCTTGTGAGGAGGAAAGATAGAGTTTGTCACGATTTGGGTTTATTCGCCGAGACCTAGTCACTTATGCGACGCTGTCTCGAGTTTTCTAGATAGTTTCCTTCTTGGATCGTCGCCCTTTCTCCCCAAGTATCTCGTACGAACATTGGCAGTTTGTTCCACTTGAGGGATATCACCGGGAGATAGTAGCACATGAAGTGAATGAGTACAACTGGATTTTGTTGATTATAAAATGTACACGCAGTGCTGCTGACTACCGCTAGTGACTAGGTATTCACCCTATTCCCCTCCATCCGGTTGTTCTTTGCCGAAACTCCGTCCCATCAATAAAGACTTTTTAATCCTCCACCCCTAAAAGGAATTCCGAAAGCTGAGTCCCAGCTTTCCCAAACGCCTGTAATCCGCCAATTCCGATACCGCATAGCAAAGTCTGTCTCATATCGAGACCAAAGCTCGACGCCCTTCATCGGTAGACTGGGCGCGGAGCCTCGTCGGTGTAGTACATGGGCCGCTCAATGTATGACACCTCCGGCTCGCCCCGTGCGGGGACCGGCTGTCCGTAGTAAGGCTGCTGCTCCACCGGCCTGGCACTATACTCTCGCCGCACCACCTGAGGCTCGGCAGGCCGAACGCTGTAGGAACGGGGTCCAGGTTGAATCATCTCCCGACGAGCGTCGGGGTGCATGGGTGCCGAAGCGTAGTCCTGAATGGGAATCTGCTCCGGCCTCACACTTTGAACTCTTCCGTACTCTCGCGGAAGCTCATAGCGTACTGCCGTCTCCGCAGGGCGGGCTGTCGTCGCTCGCATCATGTACTCTCTCGGAGGCTCCTCAATAATCCTCCGCTGTTCCATACCACCTCTGGCGGGGATGAATTCTTCGCCGGGGGGTGCCATTGGCCTCGTAGAGTACTCTCGCTGTCTGTAGATTCGTTGAGGGTCTGTAACGTACTCGGGCTGCGTGACGACTCTCCTGGGTGCCGCGTACACTGGCGAGGTCCGCTGGTAGAGGACGTCGTCGTCTCGAGGGGGTGGGCCGGGGCGCCTAGACTCTGCTCGAATGGGCGCTCTTTCGTAAATAATCTCAGGCTCGCCGGGTCGTAGTGGTGACGGCGCCACAGACTGGCGAACGACAGTCGACGGTTCGTAGTATCGACGGCCAGTGGCGGGATCTACCACAACCCTACCGGATGGCGCCTTGGGTGGTCCCATTAGCGGGGAAGCCCTCTCTCTCATGACGGGCGAGCGAGATCTCGCACGATCTGTCATGGGACGAGTGCTCATGCGCGTCACTTCGTAACCATCACGATAGTATCGTGCAGGTTCCCTACCATAGCGATCGACACTAGCTGGGGATGTTGCGTACACCTCACTTGGCGCAGCATGAACAGCATAGACACCAGGCGACGGCACATGCCGCACATACTCGGCGCCGCTGATCACGCGGGGCTCTTCAATGTACTCTCTTCCATACCCATAGTCACCAATCGCCGCGGCTTGACTTGCTGGCCGTGGACGGTACTCTTGGGTATCGTACATGGGCGCAGCACCTTCCTCCCTGTATGATCGAGAAAACTGACGCTCAGGCTGGGCGTAACGAGGCTCCTCGTCACCCTGTCTTCTTTGCCGCTTCTGTGGCCGAATGAAAGACGGCGCATTCATCGGAGATGGCGATCGCGGTTCTGGCTTGATATAAGGCTCGTCTGGCGCTTGCCTGGCTGCCCTCTTGCCGTTCTTCTTCTTCTTCCCCTTCCGCTTCTCCCCGCTTCGACCCCCTTGCGGTGAGCTATCTGGACTGGAAATAATGTTGGGCTCGTTGCGTAGTGCTGCAACTTGAGCTGTGGTTCCTTGAGGGATGATCAAGTCTTGAGCATCCGCTGCTTGACCTCTGGCCATTGCAAGAGGCGAGACATGGGAGGGCTGGGGCGCTAAGGGGGATATGTTGTGGGCGCGAACCTGTATCAAAGGCGAGGGTTGGCGAGCGAGCATGGACTCTCTAAGTTGCTGTTGACCTGCGGCAGGGACAGACCTATCAGCACTGTCGTCAAGGTCCATGAAGCCTGACTCCTCAGAACGACTGGTGTTTCCGCTCCCACCTCCTGATGTAGACAACCCCGTATTATCACCCCCATCCATTCTTTGCGTCGTTCCTACCGACGGGTATCGCGAAAATTCGGGTGCGGCATCGGGTCTGCTTGGAATTGGTCGCGAGTGGGAGGGATTGGAGTTCGAGGCTTGGCCCTGTGGCTGATGAGTAGCAGAGGCATGGGGTCTTGAGGACTGCAGGCCAACTTGAGTCTTCTGGTTTGCTTGTACTTGCGCCTGACCTTCGAATGGCTGGCCTATGGTGGAAGCCTTCTGTGTTTGTGCCATAACCTCGGCATCGTTACCGCCGCGTGAACTGCGGTGTGAGGAATCTGGCGAATTGACTTGGGAAGAATAGTAAGAGTTCTCATCAACGGAGTCACTTGCAGCTGAAATGTTAGCAGCAGCTAGTGTAGCATTGACAGACGAAGGAGCAGCAGCTTGGACCAGAGTCAGAGCCTTGGACAGGACATCGGAGAGGTCGAAGTCGGCCAGAGGCTCCGACTGCGCCGAGGCCTTCATAGAAGCCCGACGTTGATCGACCTCGTCGCGCAGTGCCCGTTCAAGGCGTTGCCTCTGGAGCTGAATCTCGGCCTTGATAAGATCATCAGACTTTTGAAGAAAAATGGGATTGATCTCGGTTTTGCCAGAGCCAACGAACGGTCTTGCGGGCAGGTTCGCATTAGCAGGGGGCGGGTTTCCTAAACCAGGAAGAGAAGTTTGTGGTGTAGTGGTCGCGAACGACTGCAGATTCCCAACTTGATAGCCTTGTGCTGTGCTTCCATTCGTCTCTTTTGCTGGTGTAGAAGGGTTTGATGAAGATGCTATGGCAGAAGTTGGTGTTTGGCTCGCCAACTGGGCTGGCACCTTGATCTTGGAATGCGAGCCAGCAAGAATGGCGTCGCGAAACTGCACGATTCTCTCGTACTGCTGTATCTGGTGTAGCTCATCTCTTGAAAGACCAGACGATGTCCCATTTGCCAACGGCGGTAGTGATGCGAGCTGGCCTTGAACCATGGCGAAATGCAATTTGCGCAAGGAAATCCTCCGCAGTCAAGCAAGAAAGCGCGAAAAGAAAGGAATTCAAGAAGACAAACAGAACTACCAATATCGTGAGAATCAGCACTGTTGACTATACCCGAAAGCGCAGCAACCTTGAGCGCAGTAATTTCTGCAGTGTCGTAGAAGATGAAGGAAAAGGCGTTGTGCCGCTGGTGGATGTTGAGAGGAAAAGAGATGGGCCGTGGGCCGTCTGTGATGGTTTCTATGTGAACTTTTCCTACAAGGATAAATCCTTATAAGAATCTTGCGGGCCTGGATGGGTGATTCAGGCTTTGGTGGGTCATGCAGCTAAGCGAGCATGTCACCAGCTCCCCAGCCTCGGCGTATTTTGGTCATAGTCACCACTCATGTTTTAGCGCCAAGGTCCCCGACGGCCGGAAACAGCTCCCTGTACCTTAGCTTCCTGTAATTACCTCAACAGCGCAGCGAAGGTATATCGGCGTGAGTCAACACTACATACTGCTGCCAAAATATCGCGGAAAGCCTCAAAAAGCCCCAAGCTGCATTTGTAAGCCAGTATCGGGGAATCCAAATTTTGGATCCAAGAAATAAAGAACATAAGTGTCAAACTCCAGACCAACGTGGTTTCGCTTGCTTCATGCCGATCAGACTCCCACCAAACATACCTCGAAGCTTCTCTTCTTCAGCCCGACTTCGGTCCTTTTCTTCACCAAAGACCCGACCTTTTACAACCAGACACGGCGTTGAGCATCGCAAGCCCCCTTTATTTTCACCTTCCACTCTCAGACATAGATTAGACGGCGCCTGCTATACCACATCAGCCATGGATCCCAACAAAACCCAGACAAATGGAGTGTCAACTTCAAAGCCTGTGCTGTTTTTGTAAGTTGAACCCCATCAATGCGGATGGACACTTTGGTTAACAATCGCACAGTGACATTGATAATTGCCTCTACCCAAGGAGTGAGTTCTGGAAGACATTCGACAGGGCATCATCAAGACTGACTCTCACTAGGTTCAAAGGTCCAGGACCACATGGCACAACTAATTGACGAGTACTTCGTAAAGCACCTTTCTCTCAAGTGGGACGACGCCGTGAAATTGCACAAGGAGTATTACACCAACTACGGCCTTGCGATTGAAGGACTGGTCCGCCACCATGAGATTAACCCCTTAGAGTACAATGCCCAGGTCGACGATGCCCTACCTCTCGAGGACATCCTCAGTCCGAACCCTGAGCTGCGCGAACTGCTTGAAGATGTTGATAAGAGCAAGTGTACCATGTGGCTTCTCACCAACGCCTACGTAAATCACGCTAAGCGCGTGACCAAGCTGCTGGGTATCGATGATCTCTTTGATGGCCTCACATTCTGCGACTATGGACAGGCGCCGCTTGTCTGTAAGCCTGCCAAGGAGATGTACTTGAGGGCTATGCGTGAGGCGGGCGTCGAGAAGATGGAGGATTGCTACTTTGTCGGTATGTCATTATGTGTCCACTGACAAAAGATCTGGCGCTGATCATCTGCCATAGACGACTCTTACCTGAACTGCCAAAAGGCCCAGGGCTATGGCTGGAACGTAGCCCATCTTGTCGAGGAAGATCTCCCGGTGCCGAAGACACCTGCATCCGCTCACCAGATCCGTCACCTCAGGGAGCTGCGAGACGCCTTTCCTCAATTTTTCAAGTCCAAGAATGCTTAGACTAGTACAACCAGGGACAATGATTGAACGACGGTAGACGGAAATGAATAGAAGGCGAAGGAGGATACAAGCCAGAGAGATGAAAGGCTTGGAAACACAATTTTTGTGTTGGAATGGGTATCGCTAATTCATAGATATCCTTAAACTTGAATACCCCCCGTTTGACCCTTTTTCAACGCCCAAAACACCCCAAATACAATGCTGTCCTGGTGATCGATATGATGGTTTATGGCCGCCGAACGCTTCGGATCACTTCATCAAGCTTCGCCAGAATCTGGTCCTTCTCTCGTATTGCGTCCTGCCTCTGACTCTCTGCGACCTTGAGCTCGTCTTCCAGCTCCTGAATATAACGCTCCTGATCGGCTTCGCTGCTGTCTAATCCCGGCAGACTGGAGATGAGGACCTCGATTTGTTGTTCCTTGATGATGAGGTCGCGCGACAGCTCGGCTAGGCCATCCTTGAATTCGTCTGCGGGGAGAGGATCGACTGCGAGCAAGCTTGTTTAGCATTTGTCCGTCGTTCTAAGGTCTATTATGACAGTGGGACCGACCCTCTTTCTGTTCCGGATCCTGTTTGACTTCTCTAATTTTATCGTTGGGTCCGAGGAGCTCGAGATCGTGGCGCCGGTGGACGAAGTGGAAGCTTGCGACGAATTGCTGGGCAAGCTAGAGACAGAAGTTAGTGCTTGCCAGACAAGCAGATGAGAGATGCGAACAAAGATTAACACACCTGGTCCACAGCGTCTTGCAATTGAGTGAGTCTGTCGCCCATCTCGCCGGCACTGCAGTAATTTTGTGCGATATGATGGGTTGTAGTATCGAAGTTAACAGTGACAGACAACCTTGGAGGCTATGAATGCGATGCGGGAGGTTGTTCTGTGGGCCAGTTGCTATGCACCTAGGCGTCAACGCATTGGCCAGCCCAGGATCGCATGCCTGCTACGGTACGTACCTTTTTCAACTACTGCGAACTTCCATTACCTGAGTCTTGGTCTGAGTGTGCTCAATTGAGAGAACAACAGGATGCCCGTTTCTTCAGCACTCATACTATGTGAACCTGCCTACCAATTTCAAGGCATTTTGACTCTGGATTCGAAATTTCACGAGCATGCAAGCTCTTTTACACTCATTACCAAGGCACTTATCCCGCCATAATCGGAATGCCATTTCATCAATACTCTCAGCCCCCCTATCGACATGTCCATCATTGAGGAAACGAGAACAAAAGGGCCTGGAGTTGCTATACCCTGACGCTCCATCAACAAATCATCATGATATGAGTTCTTTCCTTGCGTACTCAAAACGTACTGGACTTGATGTGGCATCAACAGTCTACGTCGGAACCCATTATGAGTACACAGTCTCCTCGACACTGGCCCAATACGGCATCCACGCCATCCGTGTAGGCGGAGCTTCCGACCAAGGCATCGACCTCCTCGGCACCTGGAGTCTTCCGTCCCGGGCTGAGAATTTAAAGGTCATTATTCAGTGTAAAGGAGGTGCCCAACGCGTCGGCCCTTCAATAGTCAGGGAATTGGAAGGTTCCTTCATCGGCGCCCCTGTGGGCTGGCGTGGCGAAGGAGTCATTGCCTTCTTGGTCAGCGAAAAGTCGGCGAGCAAGGGCGTACGAGAGTCTCTGGGACGAAGTCGCTGGCCCATGGGCTTCATCTCGTCCTCCAGGGAAGGTGTGGTCCAGCAGATGCTCTGGAATCAACGGGCCGATGAGGAGGGTCTGCGAGGTATTGGTGTTACGATGCGTCATGCCGATAACGGAGTGGGCGAGTCGCAGATTGTCTTAACACACAATGGAAAGCGAATCTCCAAATGTTCAGGGACAGAAGTTCCTGAGGCGGACTGAAGTCGCGGCTCACCGGTCAAGTAACCAAACCAAGTCAACAATAAGTTATAATGCGCAAAGGATGGAACAAATTCTATTGGGAGGTATGCCCAGAATCAACAAAAAAGCGAGAGAGCCGGAATTCTCCGCTAGGAATGTAGGCTAGGGAGCGAGACTATAAAAAGAGATTGTTGCAAACCAACTATCCGCTCCATCTTCTCCCGTACAACAGGAGATACCCTAGTTGCGCTTAGTCTTATGTTATATTTAGATTCACTCTAAGCTCAAACAGCATCACGATGTTGAAAGGAAGTCGACCTCTTTCTAGAAAATATGATGTATGAATAGGAGGCATTTCATTGTAGGAAGTTACGATGCTAGAGGGCAGCCGGTGCAGAACTTCAGGGCTACGACCAGATCATTCATGGGATCGCCTCTGTCTACCTGTCTACGCGAGTATGAAAGGTATTGGGGACAATCGGAGCTGACATAACATCATATCTATTGCCACATGAATGTCTTCCACGCCGCTCAGGCATCAAAGCTCGACTCCTCGTCTTCCAGCTCTCACTTGACTTCTCTCACTCCCTCTTCAACAACGAACTTAGCACCCTCACTACCACCACGAAAAGTCACTATCGTCTTGTCGGCCCGAGACTCCAATTCAGCGAGTTGTAAAAGAGGTACTGATGAGCTACCGTCTTGACCCTTGTTTTTTTCATCCGTGCCGTGATCCTCTGATATGCTGTAAAATAACAGAGGTAGGATTGACGACTTCCAGATGGGTTGCCTTTCGCTGTCTCGGTAACTTTGAACATACGCGGCCACGAGCAGGGCTGATGTAAATGCCAAAAGAGCTGCAGGGTAAAGTAGCCACCATCCTTCAAGCCTTACACAAATCGACGTTTGGTTGCAGGTTCCCTCTTTGTAGCTGTTTGATGTATCCGTCTCTGACCAATTCAGTCCATTGAAACGCATCCTATTCGTAATCGCGATAGACATGTTGTCGTGAGCAGCCGCAAGGCTGTCAAATGTGGCCATCCCTCCACTGTAGAGAGCGTCAAGCCACCAACCTGTTTGGCATTGTAGCTGACTGGAGTTTCCGATTCCATTGACGGCTTCAGGGGATGTTGGTCCATTTTCTGTGACATCGTAGAGTTTGCAATGTCCTTTTAGTTTGTCCTCGAAGAATAATCTAATACCATGGAATTCGCATTCGTCTATGACTCTGACACACGGAGGCGGAGCCTCCTTCGTAACTCCATCTGAAGTCAACGAGGTCCAAGGCAGGCCATCTCGAGGGGCGTCTGTAATGTTGGACACGCCGTACCATTTGTCGTCAATAACGCAAGGCTGGATCACTGAGCGTAACTAGGGCCGCTCGACGTGTGTTTGATTTTAGACATTGGCTCCGTCGATATCAATTGCTCATTTAGGGTACCATTCGTGACATTTCCATTGTAATGACGGAGACAAGGATAGAGACTGCAGTTTGCAGCCACAATATCAAGGTCAGAGCTGAGTCTCGGCATATTCTTATAGTCATGCCCGCAGTATCGATCGGCCGGGGCATCTGGGTTACGCTGCGCAACGCAACCTGCCACCGAGAGCGTCAGGAAGGACGTGACGATAGGGGTTTCATGTGTGTAATCAATGACTGTTGTTGCATTGAACAATTCCGGTTCAACGCCAGTGTTGATGGAGAAATTCGAATCCTTGTGGAAGCGGTAAATGTTACGATATCGGCCGAACAATTTTGTCTTTGAGTCTTCAAACTCTAACAAGTCGGACTTCACGTCGGTACACTTGCTGCAAACCCCGACGGACGAGTGCGTGACTCCAGAAACGTTTTCGAACACACAGTTACCCGATTCACACTCGAATAGTTGAGAGCTGTCGGGAGGTATACCGAGTAAGCCGTTGATAATGGCGGTGCTCATCTTCGCGTTGGTATCTGCTCCACTGATCATAGAATCATGCCTCGCAACCCGCTCGGCTATTGAGATACGAGCAGTGCACTCAGATGAGACCTCGCAGGAATATGTTTTGACAGCTTGCTGGGAAAGCGGGCCAGTGGCGTATGAGGCGACCACAACCAGAGCACCTATTAGTGTTGCGTTCCTGTTCTTACTGTTACCAAAAATCACATCCATTTACGGATAAGAGTATAGAATACGGTTTGCGGATGGCTACTAGGAACTTCAATGATCCCCAAGCACCTTTGCCAGCATTGTCAAAATGTTCGACATGCCGAAGGGGACGCGGCGCCGCCATCCATAGCCACTTAGCTTGCCCAATGACTGCATTCATTAGTAAATTCTCCTCTAAGGGATGAAGGGAGAAAGCGTCTACCCTCAGATAATACGAATAGCATCGCGGCTCTCAGGAGCGTGGTCAATATGGCAACAAGTGTGTTGATACTCACAATGTATGCCCAAGCCGGCTGCGGTTTCCCATTGCTGAACACCAAGAGAATGACCATAACAATAAAGGCAACCACAGACGTCAAGAGTGCCGCAAACTCTAGTGTCCATTGCTTCAAGGTCGAAAATCTGTCGAGAGGCCGATAAAGTAGGCTGTGCTTCTCGGTTTGATTGAGATCCTCCTCATCGATGGCTCCGGAACGCACTGATGAAGGCCCCTCGACTTCATTTCGGGACTCCTCCTCGGTGAGAATGATCGTATAGTCACTTATGGAGCCATCGTTCTGATAGTTATCGGGCTGCTGGTTTGATATAATTCTGCTGCGATGAACTTCATCTGTGAATGATACAGACGAAGGTCTGGGTGATGACCCATCTCTAACGGTGTGGGGAGAGTCTTGAGAAGGCGCCATTTTGATACTTTACAAACTTCTTGAGGCCCTACAGACGACAAATGGGCTTAAGAGAGGGGAATTCATTCTTTATGTGGGACGCCTAAGGGATGCATATCGTGAATCAGGCTGAGCCCGTGGGGGCCTCAATGCCATGTATAAGCTTATGGCTTTTTGGCCCCGTGACGAGGAGGACTTGGCTGCATGTTGGATTTTTCGACGATTGGTACGATAAAGCTGCACTGCCTGTCTGTGGTACAACAACAGATCTAATTATGGTTTTCGTGTTGACGACACGGGTTGGCAAGCTGAGCATGTCACCGCAGCTAGTCTTCTCCCCAAATGACGTCCTGTTGCGTTGGCAACCACTACAGCGGACCTAGTAACCATCACGGGTGGAACTGTGAATACGATTTGTTAGAAACTCGGAGAATTTCAAGAATAAAAGGCTTGGATCGATAGAAACAATCGTCGACTAGCTTTTGCCTGACGGAAGTCTTAACCAAGTTGCGAATGACCAACAAAAGTAAGTAGCCCCATAGTTTCCTATCACGGACAGGATGATAATAGCCGACATCGACCTTACATTGGTTACATAAATGCTCTGTCGAGTGAAAGGCTTCATAATGTCTCTGAAGAATTTCAATCTGTTGAGCAACTATCGTCGGAGAAACCGATTTCGAATCATGCCTTAAGCACCAACTGGACCATCTCCATGAACCAAACAACCCCGAGGTTGATTTCTGGCCCACTGTCTCGGCCTAACTCTTGCATACCTTGAGCAGTACCGAGAACTTAACCATTTGGCCTCTCTCACCTCCCTGGCCATACGGTCAACCCGAACAGGTTATGATGCCAACAGTAATTAGTACAGAGAGGGGGGAGTCATGTTCCCCACCTTGACAAATACAGGAGAGAGTATTTGAGTCATCTAGAGGAATATTGTTCAAATACATTGCACCTGCTACGGGTCATGAGTTCAAGCCTACAGCTGCATCAAGCGAGCATCGGTGATAGATTCTAACTCTATCCAGCCTCGACGGCATCTTTCATGACAATCAAGAAGATAGCTCCTTCCTCTATCGCCGACTCTCTAATCCTTGAGTCCAGCACGTATACAACGGGATGGCTTGAGACAGCGCCATGTGACCCTTGAGTTGATATCAAAATGGACATACCAGCAAATGGCATGCGCTGTGGGCGTCCTGTATACGGACACTCGTGTCACACGGGGTGTCTGGTCTTTGATTTTGACAGAGGCAGAATTACTCAGGGGCGCGGGATAAATACATGAGACACCAGACTATTCGACATGGTCAAAACATAAACGGAACAGACAGTTTTTTCTTCTTGTGTTTTAGGCACTACGTGCGTAAAAAAAGCTCACCCTTCACAAATATTTATGTACGTGATTTCCCATTCATAGTGTCTACTAACATATACGTATCTTTCTAAGTTAACACCAGACATATCAATAGGATAATGACTCTTTGGAGTAACCTTCAAGAAGACCTCCTCGCAATGGAACCAGGCATTCAGTCGACGCCGAGCCAGACATGGACCCGAAAGACACACACTACCACGTACACAGAAACAGCGCAACATCACCTCACTTTGCCCACATAATTTTGACCCCATACAACTTGAATCAAGCAGAATTGTGAGACCCACGTTCCAACAACGCAAAAAAGACAACCTCGCCGCCCCCTCAAACCCCCAAGCTCACGATAGATCCACCCACAGCGAATCCCTCAACCCACGCATCCCATGATCACCAAACAAAACTTCAAAAACATACAACACCAGGTATTCGCTGGTCGTCACCGACCCAACTACTAATCCGGCCCTCACTGGCTTATCTATGGGAGAGCGGACGGGATCCCGAGTTTTCCAGTGGGTATGGTCGTATGTGACGGAAGAAGAAGGCAGAGTTGATTATATCGTGAGATGGCGCACAACACCGAGTAGCCGTCTTCCCCGCATCAATCCACGGTACCACACAAGAAATGACAAATGATAGGAATATTTCACAGAGAGAAGAGAAAGCCAATTTATTTCGTTTGTCTTGCATGGGATCTTTTCTCCTCTGATTGCGTGGTTGACAGAAGGGCGAGCCAACCAGCTCCAACTCTACTCATCTGGCGATGGAGGGGCCCCCCCCCCGCTCGGTCACACAGCAAAAACCAGAGGTTTGGGGATTCCACCA